CACCACACTTGCCTACATAGTCTTGAGTCTGAGAAAATGTACTGCATTTGGTACTCAAGTGTGTGCACTTTTTCTGTATGTATCTTAGATTTCATTCAATAAAAGCATTTAACATGTTAGGTCCCTGGTTCCATTTCTGGTGGGATCCAGTACCGACAGCCACCACTGCCAAAGAGGGCTGTCCTCACCTGTGTGGTTGGCCCTGAGTGCGGCCTCTGCTCCCCTCACTGATCTGCCGGAGGGTTCTGTGGCCAGCCCCCTGGCCAGAGCCCCACCTTGGCACCCACCTCTCCATTCTGCCAGTTGCCTCCAGAGCAGCAAACACCTCATTAGTATTTCTGGCAGGCCGATAACTAACATGTGAGCACATGCCTGTGGATTCAAAGCCACTTTCAGATCCTAGGTATAACAAAAGGGGAGAGTATGGAATTCCACAGTCCCAACAGTGCAGCACTGGATGAGCTGGGGAGGTTGTGGCACCCTGGGCTGAGGTGAAAACTGCTTCTCAGTGTGCACTTGGGCCTCCTGGGAGACACCCAGCAGATGCACCGGCTATCCTCAAAGACTAAAGTCACAGCAGGTAATGCCCAGCAGGACAGGAACAGAATGGACCCTGGGGCTCACGGCTACTCTCTTCCCAGCAACAGAGGGCCTCCCTGAGAATGAAGGCCTTCTCAGTCGATGTCACTGCTGCATCTTAATGGGTCCAGGTGGTCCTTCTCCTTAAGGATATTTTCTTGCTTGTTTAAGGGACAGAAGGCAAACTGCAAACCAAGTGATCTAATTCATTATGCTTTTAAAGACATCAAAGACAAGAAGAGGGGGAGGGGAGGCTGAGGAACTCTCAAGTGAAGCCCTGAGAGATAGGTGGTTTCAAAGGCAACTATCCTGGTGGCACTCTGCCCCATGTTCCCTCACACCAAGGTCCTCCTACACTAGTGTGTGCCCAGCCCCACATGTATGGAGGGCTGCCTCCACCCACCTTGGCCCCGAATCATCCTCTAAAGCCCAGCCCCCAACACAGCTGCAGTCAGACCAGGGAAAGGCCGAGAACCTCAGGAAAGGAGCCCCAGCCCAGCTCAGGCTGCTTCTGCAATAAGTGGTTGCCACAATGTGCCACAGAATTTCAACTCCTGACCTGACAGGTCTTCTCCACACTGCCCTTGCTTGTGCGTTTGTTTTGTTTTGTTTTGTTTTGTAACTGTGTCCAGCTTTCACACTTATCTCTGTTCAAGGTTCCTGTCCCTTCTTGTATCTGCCCCATCCTGCAGTGATGTCACATACCAGGCCTGCATCTGGGGTAGTAACCTATCTTGGAGGCTTTGATCCATGCACAGATGTGGCAGTGTTGTCCTCACCCACATCACAGGCAAAGGGGGGTGAAGGGACTCAGGATGTGTTTAGGTCCAGGGCACTGCACTAGGTGTGAGGCAAACACTCAGAGGGAGACACAGCCCTGCAGCTCCTGGGAGCCCAGCAAAGCTGTGCCCAGCAGGATTTGCACTGCATGGCAGCTGTGACGTGCTGTGGGGACCCACGCTTGAGAAAGAAGAGTGGGCAAGAGTGCAGGGGATGACATGTTTTGCACAAAACAATAACCCAAGTGCTAAAAATATAAAAGGTGCAAATAAGAGTAGGCCATAATCCGGTGAGTCTGCTACCAAGAGAAATACAGCAGCCAGTGGAAGGCATGAAAGGCTCACAGCAAGAGCAGGGCATGGTACGTGGGCTGTAATCCCAGCCTCCACAGGCTGAAGCTAGCGGATCACCATGAGTTCAAAGCCAGCCTGGGATACAGAGCGAGACAGTGTCTTAAAACATAAACAAACAAAATACCAATCATAGAAGCCCAAGCAAGAAACAAAGGAAGTGCCTTCTAGAGGGATGATAAGTGGATTTTGGAGTGTGCTCAAAATGACATGCACAACCCACAACCTGTGTAATGGGAGCACACCTGTATGAGCAAGAGATTATGCTTTGTGTTATTCACTGATGCGACACAAGCATGTATGGCATGAGAGCCGGGACAGCACAGGCGGGCAGTGACCCAAGGGGCATGAGGATGCATGGTGTGTGCTGTGCTGCTGAGCCGCAACTGAGTGAAGGGTGCATTCCTGTGTTCAGGCTGTGGAAATTTACAGTGCAGTACCCTTGCAAACGCGTACCTCTCTGCGTGGCTATTAGACTTCAAGATCAAAATGATTCCAACAATCACATCTGATTTCGACAGGGGTCTGGAAACAAGATACCATAGGCTGGTGGCTTAGAAACAACACCAACTTATGTCTCACAGTTCTAGAGGCCACAAAGTGCAAGACCAAGGTGCCAGCAGCCTCTGTGCCTGTGAGGCCTCCTTCCTGCTCATAGTCACGTGCCATGCGGCAGGAAGGACGGCAGTGCTCTCTCCCGCCTCTCATGAGAGCACCAGTTCCAACCTGGGCCCCACCCTCAGGCCCTAACATTACCTCCCTCAGGCCACTCCCACTGCCCCAGCTTGGGGTAGGATCTGACATAGGGATTGAAATAGGACACAAACGGTCCGGCCCGCACAGGTGCCAGCCGCCTAACAAGGACAACTTTCCAAGTCGCTCTCATTCTTTCCCTCCCACTGGCCCTGAGCTGCTCTAGCATTGGGGCCTGCCTCCTACTGCTTGCACACCCTCTTCGGAGGCCCACAGACAAGAGTGCTCTCCCCACAGGTGGCCTCTCCAGATAGGGTCTGTCACACGCCGGAGGTGCTGCCCCATGGCACTGTGCTGTGGCCACTGTGTTGTTGAGTGCTAGTAGCAAGGAACACCAGCCCTTCCTGCTCTCCCCAAGATGGCCCAGGTACCCCGACTTCCCTCCTGGCCCAGCTTCTCAGCTCACACGAGGCTGCCTCCTCCCCACCCTGTGCCGGCCTCTGCCCACCCCCAGGCCTGCAGCAGCTCTGCCCACGTGTGCTGAACAGCGGCTGCCTCCGGAGCCCTGCCCTGCCACCCACCTTCTCACGCTCTCCACACTCCTCTGCGCCTGGCAGAACAGCCCTTTGTTCCCGAGCAAGAGGAATCTGCAGCTTCATCAGCTCTGACCCAACCTCCCACTATCCTCCCAGCTGAAGCCCAGAAAGGGAACGAGACAAGGCAGTGAGGGCCAGAGATATAGGTGCTGCAGCCAGTAGGCTGGATGGGACCCAGAGTGGTGGGCCTGCTGCCTGCCCATTGGTGGCCTTGGGCCTCTCTGGACCCATGATCTCATCAGGCCGAGGAGCTGGACTAGAGGTTCTGGGTCCTCTCCCAACTCTGAACAGGACAAAGCTTAATTACACATTTCAGCTGAACAGTGTCCTTGTCTCTGGGCGGTGAAATATTAGATTTTGTTCTCTTCTTCATTTTGCAAATAATCCATACTATGATTACACTATTGATCTGTTTATGATTACAAGCACAAAAGGTCTGTGACTAAAAAGAAAACAGGGAAGGGCTGGGGAGATGGCTCAGTAGAATAAGCGCTTCCCTGGCAAGTACAAGGGCCTGAGTTCAATCCCTGGTTCTGCCCAAAAAAAAAAGAAAACCGGAGGGTTGGGGTTAGGAAGAGAAAAGAAAAAGAAAACAGGGCCAGGCATGGTAGTGCACACCTGGAATTTCAGCACTCAGGAGACTGAGGCAGAAGGATTGCTGTAAGTTTGAAGGCAGCCTGGGCTACATAGCCAGGTTCTGTCTCGAAGATAGAAAGAAAGAGAAAGAAAGAAAGAAAGAAAGAAAGAAAGAAAGAAAGAAAGAAAGAAAGAAAGAAAGATTTTTTAAGAA